TACAACTACATGTACATTTTTTATCATTGTAATCATACATTGTGGACTTTGAATGAAAAAAACTTTTCTCAAACATAGATCAAACACTGGTCATACTCCGTGATCAGACAAATCCTTTTTACTATTAAAATGGAAATAGAAGGCTATAACTGCAAACTGCTCATCAAATGAGGTCCATGCATTCTTGAAATAAAAGAGCCACAGTGACTGACCACATATTTTCATTAAATCGCTTTCATACTTCTAGAGTTGAGAATGGGAAATTATGTAAGGGTAGCAAATTCATTCATATTTCAAGCCAATCCTGAACAAAAATTTCTGCTATTTATATAGCTATACAAATTTGGGAAAAAATAGCAAGCCCTGTTTGAAAGTTACCAGCCGTGCATCCTCGGGCAGGCTGGTAAATTTACCAACTCTGGTAGAGGGCATACTCCCCTCCCCTCTTTTGATCTGAAACAGTATCATTTTTTGCATAAAATGTCATAAAATCGTCCAAATTTGTTTTGCATCACTCCACTCGGCGTGAAAATCTACCAATTTTATAGGCAATTCATGGAATTACGCCCCTTTGAAAAAAGCTGAATCCATCATCCGCCCCAGCCTGGGACTGTAGTTATGGTCGATCGGCAGCTCCTGCTAAATTTTAGAGGCATTGCCCTTCCTAAATAAAAAACATGAATGGTAATGAAAAGTAAAACGTGATAAAATGTTGAAAAAAACAAGTACCTTGCTCCTCCAGATGCCGCCATCTTGTTCCGATTTTGAAGCATGCGCACTGGTGATATTGTGTTATAGCACGACCACAAAAATGGCGTTTAATAATATCGATGTACACACATAGTTCACACTTCCTCATAATAGACGGCGAGTGAGACTTGCTTATTTTTTCTTTTTATTTTATGTTTGATTGAAAATTAAAGCAATTTAGCGATAATCATACAATTTACATCTGAGGACGTCCTTAGTTGTGAGTGAAGTCCTCACTTACTGGTGTGTATACTTACACATGTCCTCATTGACATACGTGTACCAGAACACACACACACACACACACACACACACACACAAATATACCAATTGTTAAGTAAATACACATTTATCTAAAATAAATTTATTCATATTTGGCTGAACCTTATGATTAATAATGTATGTATATTCGACAATGTTAGTTAGTTTAACATAAATCATTCATTGTCTTGTTGCCAGGTCCATAATGTATCGGTCTATCACCCTTTTAATTACATACACGCTTTCAATAAACAACACTTACCTATTTATGCAGAGATAGATAGTTTAGCTATAAACACATGTTTCAAATATTTTATTCCTTTTGATTTATCATTTATCATTTATCAAATATATTATACCTCCTATAGATTCGATGTGCTAACATAACAACGCATATCTTTTATTAAGAATAAAACCTTTTATCAAACATATGATAAGTGATATCATGTCGACAATTTAAAGAAATAATTCCAGATTAATGTTATGTACTACACAATGCTTTTTATACGTCTGATCTCTCAGTTGAAAAGATCTTGGCAGTAAACTTTAACTGAAGACCATTAGGCAATAAGATTGCTCAGTAGTACCCTTTGAAATCAGATATTTTTTTTCTTTTTTAAATTGCTGTTCTCAAAACGTTATCTTTAATATTTTATAAAAATAAAATACACCATTTTGTGCCTCAGTGTTTAAGCTGTATTCACCATGTTTCCTAATACAGTTCTATACATCCTAAGATTTCAAATATTCGGTTTGAGCGTTGTTGATGTTCAGATAACGCTTCAGATACATCACAGACATATAACACAACTGACCAAGAATTTCAAACAAACATACCAAAAACGTGTAGAAGATTGTACAAAACATTTTTTGTTGATGATACATGCCGTATATGGTATATGTACTTTTTCAATGGTAAACAAAATAGAAACAATACTGTAAAATCTCTTTGTGTCCAAATCGCATCTCATTACCCACCTGCACCTTGAATGCCCATAGTTAAAAAGTTAAAAACCCGTTGGTAGGATGCATAAATACCGAGACACTACAAAAGTCATACGACCAAAAGTAACATAATAGCACGAAGGCATATAACGGGAAACTAAGGTAAAACTAGCAATTTTGACATCTAAAATAGCCCTCAATTAGGTTATTATGCTTTGATGCCTGCAAAAGCTACTCATAATAGATTTACGAAGTGTATTACTTTGAGCGTAACCATAAATACACATTTCGTGAACAGTGATATTGTTCCCTATAATCAAAAAGATATAAGGTAACTTAACTTTGTCTAAATGATAAATGTAACATGCTAAAAGGCTTAGAAACAGCAACAGCCGATAATCTCCTGTTTTCTTTATGATTTGAGAAAGATTTTCGCAATCAGTTGAGGAATATACTTCAACGAGTGGCTTGAAGTCATTTTAATTCTTAATCTTCGAAACGTTTGATATTTGTTTTCGATTTCTAAAGATGTTGGGTTTGCAATGCTTTGCATTTGGAAAAGAACGATTGATGTCGTCATGACATGAATAGATAGTTTGGGTAAACATTTCCATTTATTAACCTTTTATTTTATTGCCAAGTATAAAAGATAAAACTTTAAGTCTGTACTGTACAGATCGAATACCATATGTAACGATTAAAACACAAGGCGAAACAATAGATGCGATTTCAGTAAGTACCTCATTGGATGATACCGATATATAGATATACATGTATCGTTTTAGTTATAATCAGTGGGAAATATAATTACAAAATATTACCTTCCTTGTAAAAACATAAATCTTGATCTTTTCAATGATGGTCTCGTTATAGCAAAGACTTTTTAATTAATTTTCTCTAGAAAACGTTCTGGTAGATGGTAACAATAAAATCAAATTGTACTAAAAACTAAATTTTCATATGTTATCATTTTTCTCCTAAACTAGCAAAACGACGAGTACAGCAGGCTTAAGAAGCTTTGTGTAAAATGGGTTAAAAATGTTGCTGTGCGAATACATTCTTGCAGTACCAACTTCAATTTATTTTTCTACTGGCTGTATACCTCTCTGGAACACCCCAATTATCCGTAAATGTACGCAGCTAGTTCCGAGAATTTCAGAGAAAACATTCAAACGAAATTGATTGATATGCAGCAAACACTAACACTTTTGAAATTAAGATACTAAGCAAATTCAAACATACCTTATCCCGATGTAAACATTGAATGTGAATAGTTCAAGTAGACCGCAAATACTTGTACAAAAATCAATTCTTAAAATTGTATAAAAATTTAGTAAAACCTTTTAACAAATAATATACTATATAAAAATTGTTATCTTTAATTTTTTAACATGTACAGACATGACCTTTAAATTGTTATAGTCACAAAATGACAATATTTCTATATTGAAAGTTCACGTGACTAGAACAGACCGGTGTACTCGAAGACTTAAGATGTGAAAAATAGGTATTATTATATTTAAATTTACCTGTGTACGTTACTTTATTTAACGCCATTTTGTCCTAGGTATAAGTTGTCTTTCTGACATTGAAACATCTTTTTATTTATATTGTATCATAGATCAAACTTATTTGTTCAGTGTACATTTACTTGTTTTTATGTATTGTCTTTTTGATCGAGTTGAGCTTTTCAATTGATATTTTATTGTATGTCTTTTTATGTTGTAATATTATACAACTGTTTCAGGTTAGGGTGAAGGTTGGCGCCTGTTTAAACGTTTAAACCCGTTGCATTTTTATGCACCTGTCCTAAGTCAGGAGCCTGTTGTTCAGTGGTTGTCCTTTGTTGGTGCGGTTCATAAGTGTTTCTTGTTTCTCGTTTTTTATATAGATTAGACCGTTTGTTTGCCTGTTTGAATTATTTTACACTAGTCTTTTTATGGGCCCTTTATAGCTTGCTGTTCGGTGTGAGCCAAGGCTCCGTGTTGAAGGCTGTACTTTGACCTATAATTGTTTACTTTTGAGACATTGTCACTTGGATGGATAGTTGTCTCTTTGGCAAACATACCACATCTTCTTATTTATATATTTTGGTAAATTGTAACATGCTAAGGACTTTATGGAACACTCTGAAAACTTTTGACCTGAAAGATCTTTAGATTTTGTATGTATATGACTTTTTTCAATTTTTTTATCAATATGCAGCAAAGATTAACATTTTTTAAATTTCAGTTTCACAAGTTTCGAATTCAAGGCAATACATTTTCAATATCTCTGCAGCAACTTTTATCAATGTTTGCCTATTAATTGAGTATGTATTTTGTGATTGATCTATGTTTTCGATAATTATTTTAATGCAGCAAGCTATATGTCAGTGTCCTACAAGGTGACCAAATCGAATAGTTGAAGATTTTTTGTTCAAATTTTACAGACGTTATCATGATTGTGGTTGTCTTTTATAGAATAGATTACCATGGATATGATCCACTTATAATTTATCATTTACCTTGATTAGTACATCAACTAGCAATACTTCCTACTGAGTATTTCTGTGTCATCGTCAAAATGACGGGTTGCATAATTGTAGTAGGAACTACTTACCCTGCTAGGGCATCTGAGTTCAAGACGGATTTTGTGTACTCTATCATGAGTTTTGGGTGAACTGCATGTAGACTTTGTCATTTCATCGTTTTTAACCATAGTTTTTTTTTCCCCTTATTAATCATCAGTGCTCAAAAGTAGCACTACTGATATCTAGCAACGAGTTTCTATCAAATCGGCTTTTGAGTCGTCTACACCTTTAAATGAAGCCTGGGGTTTGCTTCGTTGATGTAAAGAATTCTAGTGTATACACCAAATATATGTGTAAGCTATTTTGCATTTTAAGTTATTAAAACGCTAAGAAGCCCTCCTGTTGGTTTTTTTCTTTCCTTACATGATGAACTACTTTTTCTTTCTAACAATCATGCTACTAACTCATGTAACAGAAAAATATGAAAAATAAATACACATCAAAGATTTACAATCATGAAATAATAAAGAAATAAAAGTTAAGAAAATAGTGTATTTTACTTTCAGTTATCAGTTACAAGACACATCTTTAAATACTGTGGATTCATTTATTTTCGTGGGTTCCAATTTTCGTGGATTGAGGAAAACTAGCATTTTCGTGGATATTTAATTTCGTTGTTTTGGCAAAGTGTGCATACATTCCTTTAGAAAACTTGTAATTCGTTGAACGTTTAAATTCGTGGTCCTACTGTACCCATGAAATCCATGAAAATTGGTATCCAACGAATATTAATGAATCCACAGTAGACTATATTCATATCACCGACTTTTGTCTCCGGAGTTTTATTATTTTTCGACAGGTTACCTTTTCTGCAGTATAGGACAGTCTGGTACTCGGTCAAGTAAGAGCAAAATAAGGAAGTAACATCATGCTTACAATCGGCAAAATTCTGGGGGGAAATTAATTGTTTTATGTTTTATAAACACGACAAAATAATCGGTAAACAGTAAACATTCTCCCAAAATTGCACCGATTATATGTTTGATTTTACTACATTTGATGGCTCTTCCTTAACCGAGTACCATGATGTCCTACCATAGATTCTGTAACCAGTCGAAAAGTTCTATAATCCGGAGTCAAAAGTCGATAAAATGAAAATAGTCTATTAACTCGACCGTAAAAGTTATGTTTAGTACACATCTTTCAGTATTGTCAGATTTTAACATTTGGTTCCACGTTTTATCATATCAGCTGCCTTTTCTGCAATCATCATGGTTGGTGAATAAGTATTTCCAGATATAACATTGCGCATGACAGATGCATCGACTACCCTCAGATTTTTTATACCTTTTACCCTGAAAGATATCAATTATCATTAGGCAACTAGGAGCAAAAAACGCTTATTCGATTAATGTATACTTATATTCAAAACATACCCTAACGACATTTAGTGATTTGAATTAAATGAATATGATATTTATTACGTAAACCATTTTCTGAATACACTAAATACAACAAGGGAGAAACAATGAAATAAGTATAACAGTTAAAGTAGATGTAATAAGTGTACATTAATAAAAAAACAAACAGTATCGAAACGATGGACATGTTGCAACGCTAATGTTTGCATTGCACAAAAATATTCACAGTTCTGCATTGTAGCGTATGTATAACAAAATTTAGCCAAATGCAAATGTAGATGGCCAATTGACAGTTTACTTTTACTGTGGTTGAACGTGAGTTTTATATTACGATCTATTATTATGCGTTAGTTATTTACATTTTCACCCGTTTTTAATCCACTAGTTATTCGGTGATCTTTGTAGTGTGATATTAATGATTAACATTTTGCTTTTCTAGGTAACCAGCGATGTATAAATACGCAGAAACGCTAGGAACTACGTTAGAAATAATAAACAAAGACAACAGATTAAGAAGAACTTAGTTCCTGAACATTGTTAGCATTTGGCCTTTATGGTGTTAAAAAAAATACACGAAATCAAAAGAATTCATTTAACGATTCTTTTACTTCAAAATTGCATACGTTTGAGCTTTTGTACTTTTATGCGTACCGCTTCATACAATGTATACCTTTGTCCTTATTTTAACATGCACATACTTGTATTCAACCCTCGCAATTGTACCAATGTCATACTACAGTTGATGTACGTATATTTTAGCCATATTTAAAGACAACCAAATTTAAATGTGAAATTAACGGAACAATTACGGAGTAATTGACAGATTTTTATTTTTTTTTTTAATTTGATAGATTTTAGAAAATTAAAATAACATTTAATTAACTATGTGCGTCCGAAGCGCCTTTCTGGATTTACCTTCATCAGGAACATTCAAACACACAAAATTTCAAAGCCAAGGATGTAAAGAGCTTTATGACCAAATTGGATGTAAAAAAAACAAATTAAAAGTTTTAACAATATATTAATAATACCTTAAGGTAGGATCTACAACTGCAGTTGGGTCTCTTTTTGAACCCATCCTACACGAACTTGTGGGATGAAGTCCCGATACTATAAAATGTCGAATAATGCATCTCCAGTAGTTGTCCGTATTGAATTCTAATTCTCCGCAGTGTCCTTCCATATCTAGTCTAATTAGTCTAACATCAAGGCTCCGCCATGACGAAGTCTTTTCAAGTTGCTGTGTCCAACGAATCACTATAATATATGTAATACTGGTATTATCGAACGCAGTTTCAAAGAATTGTGGAATTTTGAGAAGTTATGTATTACATTCATGGATGAATGTCAATAAATAAAAATAACTTTTTTGTACCATCATTTGGTAATAATGGTTTTCAACTTCCTTCCAATAAACATCACAAAAAGATTTTTAATCATAATGCAGTTTCGTATCTTTTGATTAACAGAAAATTAAGATTAGTTTAAAATGTTTACCAACAAACCTTACATTAATGTGCTTTAATGATTTAGATTCGATTATAGAAATACAAATGAACACACACAAAACATATACAATGAACAAATAAAACAAAACCTTATCACACCCCAAATAATTCGCTTTATAAATTAAACAGAATTTAAAATTTTAAAAAATCTTTTAATTGAAATTAAGAGTATTTTAACAGTATTGCAGTCAATATAACTCACTCAATGAAAATTTGTATGGAACTTACTTTAAATAAATTAATTTTTAACAGCAATAACTGTCCATTCTTAGATTTAGATATTTCAGTTTTACACCAGAAACTCTGCACTGAAATTTACGACAAAAAGATGATTTTTCTTTCCCTATTGTTAATTTTCCCTATTTGGATGGTGATGTCTCTTTTGCACCGTCTTACGGTATTTATATATCCCAACTCGTTCGCTATGCCTTTGTTTGTAGTGACGTTTTGGATTTCAATGAGCGTAGTCTAGGTATTACAGGTAATTTATCAAGTCAGGGATTTCGTTACAAAAAACTACTTAAAACCTTTGCTAAATTCTTCCATAGATACTATGATTTGATTTGCAAGTTTGGCTGTACCTGTAGAAAATTCAGATACGAACCGGGTAAACTTATCAATCCTTTATCACCAGCACAGTAGTCAGCACTTCTGTGTTGACATGAATTATCATTGATATGGTCGTAGTTGTAAATTAACTGTTTACAAAACTTTGAATTTTTGAAATACTAAGGCTTTTCTACCTCAGGAATAGATTACCTTAGCTGTATTTGGCAAACCTTTTAGGAATTTTTGGTCCTCAATGCTCTTCAACTTCGTACTTTATTTTGCCTTTTTAACTTTTTTTTATTCGAGCGTCACTGATGAGTCTTTTGTAGACGCAACGCGCGTCTGGCGTAAATACAAAATTTCAATCCTGGTATCTATGATGAGTTTATTTAAATAAACTTATTCTAAATGGTTACCTATTCAACACTGTAATTAGATCTTTGAATAATGTGTTTATAGGCTTAAATGTTGATTTTGTTATCAATAAATTAAAACCATACTTAATATTATTTTTATACACTTGTGAAGTTTCACGGTACTACAATCTATCGATACCTATATTTTGGTAGTGCACGAGAATACGTTTTTCTCTAACTTGTAATGACGTCTTTACACTAAATCAATTGAATGTTGGATATGTACTGATTGATATTTTAGTGTTAGATACATGATTTATGTATAGGTCGTTATTGGCTTTGAACTAGCTGTCAGTAATTGCGAGTACTCTCAGGTATGTACTTTTGTCTTTTTTGATAGGGATGTATATAAACCTGTTACATGTTTTTCTGCTTTGTACCAATCTGATGAGTTAAGCCCTTTTCAAGTGATTTTTATAGTTTAGTCTTATGTCGTGCTGTAACACCACTGTCACAGGTTAGGGGGATGGTTGAGCGCTCACAAACATGATTAACCCCGCCACATTCATTATGTGCCTGTCCACAGTCAGGAGCCTGTAGTTCGGTGGTTGTCGTTGGTTCATTTCTGTCATATTTGTTTTTTCGTAAATTGTTTTATTATAGATTAGGCTGTTACATGTAGTTTTCTCAATTGAATTATTTAATAATTTTATTGTCGAGGCCTTTTTTTAGCCGACTATACGGTATGGGTTTTTCTCATTATTGAAGGCCGTACGGTTGCCTATAATTGCTTACATCCAATTCATTTGAACTTTGATGGATAATTGTCACATTGGCTATCATACCACATCTCCTTATCTTTATATTAATTTTATAAGAAGTCATTTAAAATCCAATTAAAAAAATTCCTACTTGCTTCTTTGACTGGAACTAATTCCTCATTTTATAGAAAATAATACGTTTGTACTTATTAATATTATAATGTCTCAGTTTCCTGCAAATTGACCATTGTCAATCAATCTAGCATAGAAGTGAATAAACAAATACTACATCAATCAATGAAAAGGAGTTTAAGTTGGTTAACTTATATGACTTGCGTTTATAAAAATACAATGAAACATTTATTTGGGAGTCCCACTACCTAAATAAATCAACGACTTTAGTCACATGCTAACCTCAGTTCTATATTTTATATAATATTGGAGTCACAAAGGACCACTCAACAGAATTAATTTGCTTGAAAGAATTTCCTATTTCAGCATTTTGATTTCAAACTAATTGTTAATAATTCATATCAATCTTCTTTGTTAAAATACAATTATAGCCTTTGTATGCGGTCGATACGAGGTTATATCGACCTAAGAGAAGCATATGTCAACCAAAGGCTACAATTGTTATATTATTAATCAACAACTATTGCAGGAACAATGTAAATAGGGATTTCTAGAATATATTTTTTGTAACATGCTGTATGTCCTGTGCAATTTGCTGTTTTTGACCTAAGAAAAGTTAAACACAACAGTATTAGCGTGCAAACTTAGTAAATACAAACGTACATGTGATCAATTTTTAACGAATCACAAATCCGTAAAAATATTTTCTTAATAAGTCATTTGCCTTGTGAATGATATTTAGTAATTCAATATAAGCACTAAGGTATTTAGGTGTCTGACGACTACGAATTTTGCATTCCTTTCAGTCACCATTAAGGTATTTTTTTCTTTTTTATCCCTAAGTCTTGTATTTTTTTTCTTCCTTCCATACCTTACTTATTTTCTTTACTTACTTTTTAGCAGCATTTCTATATCATAAGGATCCGCTAAAAATCTTGGGTCCAAGAGAGGATGCCTAAAAGGATTAGCGGTTGCCAGTCGTACATATCCTTTGCTTTTTGGATGCAACAAAAATAGAGCAACATCAAATGAACTGTCAGTTGTTCGGGTCAAAAGTTCTTGTTTTACCTGGAAAATATCGTGTATGTTTCACTTATGTACTTTTTTATAGAGTGTCTATATGCCATTTTGTTTTTCTTTGTTGAAATAGTTATTTGTTTTAATAGTAATTAGGATTATAACACAATGTTGACTAATGTACCTCAATTTTTGACCATTTTACCTATTATAAAATTGAGAATGGAAATGGGGAATGTGTCAAAGTGACAACAACCCGACCACAGAACAGACAACAGCAGAAGGCCACCAACAGGTCTTCAATGCAGCGAGAAATTCCCGCACCCGGAGGCGTCATTCAGCTGGCCCCTAAACAAATATGTATACTAGTTCAGTGATAATGAACGCCATACTAAACTCCAAATTGTACACAAGAAACTAAAATTAAAAATAATACAAGACTAACAAAGGCTAGAGGCTCCTGACTTGGGACAGGCGCAAAAATGCGGCGGGGTTAAACATGTTTATGTTTGATTTGCTCACACATTGTTGTCAATATAATGGAAATATATATGCGACTGTCATACAAAGGAGAAGGTTTAGCTAGCTATAAAACCTTTTAAGGGCATACGATACAGTTACAGGGGAGGTAATGACGTTGCCAACGTAAAATGTTATTTTTCGCGACGTCAAACTGCGACATATCGGGAAAAGATGCATTTTTCGACTTATTTTTATCATTCAGACTGATTTAACTTGTAAACGAGTTCATGGACCCCTCTTTCTAAAAATGACATTAGGATTGATTACGTATGAAGATTATTTGTACCAATTTTTATGAAAAAGTCACCGATGAGATTTTTTAAAATTAGATAAGTATACAGCAAAAAATTCCGTTTTTTTCCTAAAATCCTGAAACTTTGATAAAAATTAATTATTTTCAAAGAATTGTTATAAAAATTTAGAGCATACTTATGTTCAAGAGATTTTCGAAATGTTTTTACAAAAATCCTATTGTGTTTTTCTTTTGAAACACAAAAGTTAGGTATGTCTATCCAAAGGATAGAAATGTTCCAAAAAACGAAATTTTGAGTAAATGTCTTAAATTTCGACCCCATTTATCTCTTAAAGTAGCACATGAAGGTATATTTTTTATAAAATATTTGCATTGACTCGGTGAAAAATAGCTTGTTTGCAAATTTTCGTAAACAAATCACCGTGGGATCAAAACTGTTACGTATGCCCTTAATCCACCACTTTTACACAAGAAAATTTCTGTACCAAGTCAGGAATATGACAGTTGTTTTCCATTCGTTTGATGTGTTTGAGCTTTTGATTTTGCCATTTGATAAAGGACTTTCCGTTATGAATTTTCCTTAGAAATCGGTATTTTTGCTATTTTACTTTTTTCAGATGATAAATATAGAGTTATTGTTTCATTCGAATAGGAAAGCATGACTTGTTGTCAATTAGATTAAAATCAGTTCTAAATAAACAAATAGTAGCATATCTTTATGTAAATACGTTGTTCATTAAGTTGTTATTGCATATAAATAAATAACAGCTATTTCCTTCTCAGTAAAATAGAACGGTAAAAAAAGGTTTATTAGTAATATGAATCTGTATAATTATGATATAAATATATGACTAACACACATATGCATTACAATCAACCAAATTATCATATCTTGCAGATGATGATTAAATCCTTAGTTGCTTTCATAAATTAATATTTGTCTCTAACCTAAATGAAAGTTCCGATATCTTCAAAAACAAATGAGTCCGTCATACGGTGAAATTTAAGCTTTTTCAGTTTCCATCGAGTCTTATATGCTTGGATGGAGAGTTGTCTCATTGGCACTCATATCACATCTTCTTATATCTATTGGTAACAAAATCTCTCACTACTGAGTAATAAATGTGATTCCATGTATATATATATCCGTTTATTTGGCAATCGTCAATGGCAGTCAGCAGGGTTTAAGAACATCAGTTGTTCGACCTGCTAGTCAAATGCGTTTTGTTAAAATATACTTTTTCACTCATTTCGTCTTTTCGAAAATGTTGTTTGTGCTGTATTTAGACCCCTCTACCAAGAAATTTGTTTTGCATGCACACGTATAAAAATTGCGGTTTTTATCCAACGCAATCATAGGTTTGAACGTAGTTTTCAATTTAGACTTGCATATATATATATAAGTACGTCTAAACCAGTGACGACTCTACAACAGATTTTATCCACCGGATCACCATCAGTGATGGTGATACAAGGAAGAAAATACATTCTGTTTATATAAAAATCGTCTTAACAACAGCCCAACAGTGTTAGATCTGTAAATTTGCGGAAGCAAATTTTTTTGTTCTTCCCTGGCCGGGATTCGAACTCATGCTACTGAGATATCGTGGCACCAAATCGCCTTGCACTATGCCCGTCGCGCAAGACCACTCGACCACCTAAGCTCTATCAAAATAAAGCTTTCGGTGGCCGGGTGTTACCTTTCCTCGTCAGTTTTTATCTAGCGTCGTAACACAGTACATGCTATATAAGGCATGAAGATGGAATTGTTACAGATTAGCTGAACTATCTATTGTAAAGGATCCTACAAATTAATGTAAGATGTAGTCACAGAAATAACTATATTATAAGTACGTCTGAACCAGTGACGACTCTACAACAGATTTTATCCATCGGATCACCAGCAGTGATGGTGATACAAGGCTGAAAATAAATTCTGTATCTAGAAATTTGTCTAAACAACAGCCCAACAGTGTAAGATCTGTAAATTTGCAGATCAGCTGAAATATCTATTGTAAAGGATCCGTAAAGTAATATAATTATTTCTGTGACTGCATCTTACAATAATTTGTAGGATCCTTTACAATAGATAAATATAATAAAATTATCTTATAATATAATTATATCTGTGACTGCACTAAATGTTAGGTTGAAGTATATAAATTTGAATTTAAAACATTAAACTGGTACATTTTTTAATAAAAACATGTATCACCTGGTGCAAGAAGGTATGTGTGAAAAAACTTATAATGTGTACAAAAACCCTGTACAAATTATAATTTGTACAAACTTACATCTTGTACACAACATATATATAACATTTAAAAGAATGAAACAGACACCAGCCGTTATTGTCCGAGAAGTATAAGCTATTTTAGCTGCCGAATAAAGGCTGCTATACCTTCCCCGTTCTAAATGCAAATTTTATTTTCAAATTTGTATATCTTCCAGGGGACTTATAGGGCAATTCCAATATTAATCAATGGGTTTTTGTACCCGCCCTTCGCGCAGCGGAATATATGATAATGATCTCCGTCCGTTCGTCTACTCGTCCGAAACACACAATACCCAAAGACCGTTTGACATAAACTTACATATATATATCCTGTTGACTGTGCTATATCCTCAATTTTATTTAAACCATTTGTACGGGAAGAATTAGCTTTTGGTAATTTTTGTTAGTATTGTAACAATGACACCTTGTGAATGCAACTCCTCTGAGTCCATTTTAAAGAAAACTCTCATACTTGGTAGGCTTGTTTGGCCTCATGTGTAGTTGACTATATATTTCATCGCCATCATAATTTTACAACTTTTACGGGTGTAAGGGTTTGAAGTGTTATGAAATAACATCTTGTGAACTCAACTCCTCTTAGACATTTTTTACTGAAAGCTCGCATGCTTGGTACTATTGTTTGGCATTATGATTAGTAACCATAGAACCGCCAATTTGATTTAACCATTTTGAGGGTTTTAAAGGACCTTGGTCATTAGTTTAAGTATTGTAACGACACCTTGTGTACACATCAACTGCTCTGAGACTATTTGACAAAAATCCTTCATAATTGGTAATATTGTATACAATTATGTATATTTGATCGCATTATACCGTCATTTGGATTTGACCAGTTTGAATAAAATGGCCTTATCATACTTTTTTTTTTGCTCAAGGTTTTGAAGTAACCCATACAGATAAGAAGTTTGTACAAAAATAGCTTTCTATGTAGTGTTTGTTTTGTTGTAATATAGTGACATTATGCTGGAAGTTATTCCTGCTGAGGGAACCCTGTCTGTTTACTATTGATGCATCGTCAACCAACCATTTGAAGCCAATAAAATCATAAATTTGCTTACAGACATAACTTTGATTTATTATTTAGTAGTTTTTTAAGAATTGATAGAAATATATCAATTTGTAAACGAAAAAGAGTAGATGTTATATCGTGGAGGCTTTATTGGTTGAGAAAGGCATGCAAACTGGCGTTTCTAGTCAATTAAGATCGAAGTCGAACGCACCTGCTACGTGCGAGGTTCAAATCACAACCTTAGTATTAACAATTTTGTGATCCTGTGTATGAACTAATTAGACCAATTAGATATAAGAAGATGTGGTATGAGTGCCAATAAGACAACTCTCCATCCAAGTCACAATTTGTAAAAGTAAACCATTATAGGTCAAAGTACGGCCTTCAACACAGAGACTTGGATCACACCGAACAGCAAGCTATAAAGGGTCGCAAAAATGATTAGTGTAAAACCATTCAAACAGGAAAACCAACGGTCTAATCTATATAAAAAACGAGAAACGAGAAACACTTATGAACCACATCAAAAAACGAGAAACGAGAAACACTTATGAACCACATCAACAAACGACAACCACTGAACATCAGGTTCCTGACTTAGGACAGGTGCAAACAAATGCAGCGGGTTTAAACGTTTTAATGACGCCAACCTTCACCTTTCCTGAAACAATAGTGTAACATCACAACATAGAAAGACACACTATAAAATATCAATTGAAATGGCTTAACTCAATCAAAAGACATATTAACAAAAACAAGTGAACATACACTGAACGAATAAATTTGATCTATGATACAATGTAAATACAAAATTAATAAAACAAGGGGGTTAGATGTAAAACAATATCAGAAAGACAACCATAAGACAGCCAATTGGCTTCCAATGTTCCTATCTGAAACCTATTGCTGGATAATTCAACAGATCAAAACGGTCATTTTTGTCATTGAAATTCGAATAAAATTTGCAGCTAACGGCAAAGTGCCAAATACCTTGTTGATATAGTCGCTGTATGCATTAACAACACTTGGTCTTTCAAATGCAATAGGAACAAAGATATCCTGAGAGTCTGTATACTTTGAAGGCGATGTTTTGTCCAATTTATCAAACATGAGTCCATCCATTAATGGTGTTGTATAAAAACCTGAAAATCATTAACAGAAAAGACAAAGAGGTCGTAAATATGCCAGATTCACTTATGCACCTTTCATTTCTATGGTTCTAGAAGTTAGAAAATAACTATTATCTTCCTATCGTTTGAGCTTTGAAAAAGAAAAGTCTTAAGTATTCTTATTCTTAAAATATCTGAAAATATCTTTGAATTGAAGTATAATTCAATCCTATATAGGTTGAGGTTTTTAATTTCCGTTGCCATATTCACAAGGGCATGCATGCAATAAGCATGAAACTAGTTTCTTGTAATTTCGTGTATTCTTAAATCGGTAACTTGTGTATTTTTTCCTTGTGTTATTTTTTATTGTGCTTCATGCCGTTGAGTGTAGCTTTTTCAAACTGATTTATACATTTTGTTTTTATATTGTGCCGTCCCTGGTAAGACGGAGGGTTGACCGCTGACAAACATGTTTAACACTGCCACATGTTTTATGTGATTGTCCGGGACCTGTAATAATTGATTGTCGTTGGTTTCCATCTGCCGTATTTGATTTTGTACGTTGTTTTAGCATAAACCAGGTTGTTGTTTACTTTTTGATAAAGTCTAATAAAAGGATGAGTCTTGGCTCATTTATGAAGGCCGCACCATGATCAAGAGCTGTTACCACATTGTCCTTTGGTCATTAAGAATCATATCATATCTCAAAATATTCATCAAATGTTTTATTTTCCTCAATGTCTTATATACCTTTGTTGTGAAGTATATAGTCTAAAACGTTCTCTGGATCTGTAAATTTGTTTACGTTGGTATTCAGCGTCGTATTGATTGAATAAGACATTATAAGGACAGGGTGATCTTGTAAGTTGTTTCCAACGGGCAGATCAGCATGTACTGGAATCTATTTATAAACAAATATAATGTTAATAAACTCAAATATAGTTCTACAGCATTGTAAGAAGTAGGATTTTCAATGCTCTTTAACATGTTTAATTTCGTACCTTACTTGATCTTTTAATTTGTTTTATTCAAGTGTCACTGAAAAGTCGTTTGTAGACGAAACGCGCGTCTGGCGTAAAAAGATATAAGCCTGTATCTTTGCTTAGCTCTTTGCAAAGATGGCGAAACTTAAGTATAAGTGAATTTCACCTTATAAACAATTGTTTTATGAATTGACTAATTGGGATTAACTAGATTGATTATTCATCTTCCAAGAGCTTGTGAAAAATACATTCCCATACTTGTGAACATGAAAATGCAGGTCATGACCTGCATTGAAGAGGAAAACCTCAGGTCATAATGCATACAAACTTTTCTCAGCTGAATTTAAGTATTTAGGGGACATTTTTTATATTTTGAAATAAACAGTCTCCAAATCACGTTCACATGGTTAAGTATTTACTGAAAATATTTTAGAACTTTAATTTCATTGTTTTATTGCTTTTAATAATCATTGAAATATCAATTTGTTTAAACTATATATATTTCGGCCCTCCAACCTCTAAATGTTTCATTTACAAAGTGTTAAGGTTACCTGTAAGTACTATACTTTATGGTTTGTAATAGCTTAATCTCAATAAATCGCTTTACTAAATGATTTATAAAGTAATTTATATTAGTTGATATAATTTAAAATTGATGCATTCAAAGGAAGTCGTGATGATAAAAATATTTTCCTAATTGTCCTTAATGATTAAAATCTTTTAAGTAATATTTTGATATATAACTGCCTTAGATTTAGTCTTTTTACAAAGGAACATCAATTTGAGGAGTATGCTGTGGCAAACAAGGGGGACTCACTCGAATGTTTTGTCAAACATCTTTGAAATCATTTATGACCCTAGGCTAAGGTAATTGGTGTTATTTAAGTGTGTTTAAAACTAAAGCTGTCAAGTGAAGCCATGCACTCAATGGGTCACTTGATTTGACATTTTACACAGCTAGTTGAACTTCCTGTCCAGAAAAAATTACGAATTTGCCGGTATTTCGAAGGAAAATCACTTATGAAATCTATCAGTTCATACTTAAACAGTCTCAAGGCACAAGAATACGGTTGAAAATGGTCAATACCGAAATTACGTGTCATTTAATAACCCGGGCAACTATAGACAAATTGCGGTTGTGCTCTTAAATTCCCGGGTGTGACCCACAAAATGCAGGTCAGTTGACAGGCAAGCATTCCCTTCATAATGCATTTGAAAGCAATACAATTGTGTTTTTAATTTACTCAGTTACGTTCGTATTCAAGTAACGATAGGTAACTATGAGGTTTGGTTGATATTATAAAACGCTTCCAGGAAGACTTAAATGGCGTTTCCGTAGAAATGTATCATTCATCTCTTTTGATCGTTCCGTGTTGTGTTTGGCTACGTCGAAAAATATTCGACGAGACAATACCATCTTTAATTAAGGATTATGAACCAATGAAACCAAACGATGAATAAATAAACAATATTTCAGGATTTTAAATTATAAGTGATTTACACAAAAAGATCCTGACTGGCGAGTTTTGTTGGCCATTTTTCATCATCTCACCAACAACTAAACACTTTGTCATACAGGTGAGAGGTTAAGCGCTATGAAACAAGGTTCAATCCACCATTTTCTACATAAGAAAATGCCTGTACCAAGTCAGGAATATGACAGTTGTTGTCCATTGGGTTGATGTGTTTGTGCTCTTGATTTTGCCATTTGATTAAGACTTTCCGTTTTGAATTTTCCTCGGAGTTCAGTATTTTTGTGATTTAACTTTTTTTGTACCCGAGGATGTTCATTCAAACAGAACACATTCTGTTTTATAACTTGTTTTTCTTTACTGTTGGTGCGAGATTAACCCGTGTGATATTTACATGACTGTATTGATACACCGACTAAATTTAGGCGAGATTGTTAACGGATGTTCAAATCTCATTATGCGATTCAAAGGATACAAACATAGGAAACAGACAGATACTGCGGAAATCTCATGAACTACAAAAGGAGAGAAACCGATGTGTCGACAGGAATGCATGAATTAACCACGTCGCGATTCAACACTCGGTCATTATTTCACAATCGGGAAAAGGACAAAATCGGATAAATAACAGATAAGCTAAGACTACTTACCCAGTATCTAAGGATCTAAGACTGCGAAAATATGTCGAATAAACCTTTAGTATTTCGTATTCATTCTGTGTATGATTATCAATAAAAAAAGGCACTACATATTTGTTTTTAGATAGCACGATAGCCATTTGATAAAACAAAATGAATCTACAGATCTCATACATTCAAATAGTTGAAGTAGCGTAGAGAAAACATACCTTGAGCTTTCGTAGATGCTTTTTAGGCCCAACTCCAGACAAAAGTAATATATGTGGTGAACCGAATGCTCCTGCAGACATTATGACTTCTTTACGAGCATAAACTTTATATTTCCGCCCTCCTTTCACAAATTGTACCCCAATAGCGCGTTTTCTACGAATAAGTACCTACAAACCAATAGAACATTAAAGCAAAATGTCTAAAATGAAAAGTCGTTAAACATAATGTTTACATGTCTTAATAATATACATTTATGCTTATAGTCTTAGAACATGTAGACTGCTATTGCTTTAAGTTTCTTTTAAAAATCGTTTTCTGTTATAAAATGTTTACTGTTAATTGATCAATTTAAAATAAAATAAGGAATAGTAAATCATTTTAATTTGCGTATGATCATTGAAAAATACAGGTAGGCAGCTTCGTCTAAACATATAATAAGGTTAAAATAAGCTTATTCACGATCATCATTAATTTCTTACACAAATATTTTGCACTAGTTTTAATTACCTTTGTTACATAGCTGTTTATACTGATTTGTAGATTACGTCGGTGCATAACAGGTCTAAGATAACACGCAGTTGAGCTACAACGTTCACCGTCTTTTATATTCGCCTGTGTTGGACAGTATCCTAAAAATGTTGAACTTATTTGTATTGAACACATTCATATGTATATTAAATTTGATATGTAAAATGATAATTATCAAAAGTTTTAATTGACAAAATGTAAGGGTAAACATGTATATGACAAATGTGTATGTTTAACACAAGAACAGAGGCAGGCTATATATGTAATACACTTGTCAAAGGAAGATATGATTGGATATACCCTCGGAAAATATGAAATTTCTAGGTGATGAAATATTCCGTAAGGCAAAGGAAACTATTATTTACTCAACTACTAATAACACATGCAATTCCCCCGATTGCAGAAGGGGAATATAAGTTAAAAGGAACATACAATTACGGTTACTATTACACATCTATTGATCGACACGATGTGTCGGTGTCTCAACTCACAAGGCCCAGGGTTCCTCGGTTTTAGATCTGAATATAGTATAGTCGTCTGATCATTAATTTTACCACTTGTGTCCTATTCCCGGACAGAGTGCACGTATATAAGAAGGCGTTTTCCTTGTCGACATACCAGTTCTCGCACCTTTTAGAGTTTATGCGATTCCCTTAGTCAGTATGAATAACCTTGATTTGTCTCTTAATCGATTAATTGGATTCGAACCTCGGTATAAACTATTGTCGCTATAATTCATTATTACCTGAACTAAATATAACATTAATAAAAGCTTGTTTATTATATGACAAAAGTCTTGTTTTACTTTTTTTGTTATACGCCGGAAATAAGCTTCACACGATGCTTATCATGTTGCGTTTAGTTAAAAAGATTTGAAACTTGATAACAACGCAAAGACGAAATGGGAATACGATGTTTTGTTAACTCACCTCTACCATACTAAGTATAATTTGCATATCGTTTTTCGGGGCGAGTTGTCTAAGTAGTCGAACTACTGTGTCACTATTCGGTCAAAACTGATGTTACGAGTTCGAATTCCGCACGTAGTAGGTGCACTCGACTATAATCTTAAGTGACTAGGATTGTCAGTTTTCCTACCGAAGGTCGGTGATTCTCTCGAGGCACTCCTGCGTCCTCCACCAATAAAAACTAACCGCAACGAAATAGCACAGTAGTGATGAAAGTGGAGTTTAACACTAATCAATTTCTTTTTGTATTTCATTCTGTGTACCTACATTGCATTGGTTTTTAGAGAGTAAAGTATTTTTGTTGTTGTTCTTGTTGTTCTATTTCTTGTGGGTGATTCTTAACAAATCAGATATTTATGAAGCTATCTTAATTTTCAAACAGTTGAATAATTTTTTTTATTATACCAGTTGATATGATATTCCAGGGCTTTTATTTCTATCTTGATATAGGGTTGCTGCTCACAAGGAAGCTATTAAACCAAGAGTTCCAAGTGGTGAAGTTGAAATCATCCCTTCGTTAGTTTTACGGACGCAATCACGAGTTTGTTGACCGTTATGGAATATCCGTTTCACAAATGATAGCGGATATGTTCCTAATGTAGTAACTACAATCCCGTCCCCCCATTTTCCCGAATGTGACCTACAAAATTAGACTTATTACCAGGTTTGTATTAACATGAGCAACACGACGAATGCCACATGTGGAGCACCTGAGATCACCCCCAGTTTTTGGTGGGGTTCGTGTTGCTCAGTCTTTAGTTTTCTATCTTGTGTTTTGTGTACTATTGTTTGTCTGTTGGTCTTTTTCTTTTTTAGCCATGGCGTTGTCAGTTCATTTTCGACTTATGAGTTTGAATGTCCCACTGGTTTGTTTCGCCTCTCTTTTATAAATAGTTTGATAGTTACAATGTATGTGTTTGTCTCATTCATGTTATATCAATAATGCTATCATTATCGTGTTATCTGATATTATATTTAGTAGTCAACATATGTCATGTATGTATACTTTAAATTGTAAGTCCTATTGTGTTATTTTGTCACTTTTTAAGGACTTTCCCCTTTTTGAATTTACCTCAGTGTTCGCTTTTTTATTAGGTCTTTCCACTTTTCTACGGAAAGACATATTATGTTTGGTCTTTCCACTTTTCTGTTTTACCAATTTATTTTATTAAATTGCTCGTTATATCCTCAGGATGTTTTGTCGCATTTTGACAGAAGCGATACGAAGATTCCATATGAGAGTTATTTCTCCTTCTTTATTATACATAATGATATATTGATGTTTTACATGAATGGTAAGTGATAGAGACGTAAAGTGTTTTGATTTGAGGTCCTTGGTTCAGAAAAATCTATTTAAGGTCAAAGTCAAAGGTCAAGGTCATGTTCAAAATTTTGACCTTTTCTTGTTTTATGATCTCCTCGGACACTTTTAAAGATATATATAAAAAAACAAGTGCAAAATGTTTGTTTAATTGTGATAAAGGTATGACACATTTGGTCTGAACCAATCCCATGATATCTTATAGGAGCTATTGCCCCTGAAATGCTTGAATTTAAGGTTTGTTGATTATTACTTCAACTTGGTTCATAATAACGCCATAGGGTCTTTTGTGAAATGTTGGGTGACACATGACCTTTAAAAATGTCAACCGGAAGTAGCCATTTTTTGCACATTTTCATGGAAAATATAACTATTATATTTTTAATAGGCATACATAAAACTTATCATTTGAGACCGGAAATTACCTTCAATAAACAGGAAGTAGCTAAGTATCTCCCTTATTTGAGGCAAAAGTATATAGAAACCATATATTTTGAAATCAGTGTAAATATAGCTATCATATGAGATCAGAAATGACATTTTCTTAACTGGACTTTGCAAATTATCTCCGGTTTTCAGGCAAAAGTATATAAAAACAATAGATTTTTGGAATCGGTGCTAATAAAGCTATCATACATGACATATGTTGACTACTAAATATAATATCAGATAACACGATAATGTTAGCATTATTGATATAACATGAATGAGACAAACACATACATTGTAACTATCATATGAGACCAAAAGTGACATTTTCTAAACCGGAAGTAGCAAATGATCTTCCTTACTTCAGACAAAAGTATATAGAAACCATATATGTTTTTAAACAGTATGAAGACAACCTATTATTAGACGTCAATAGTAACTTTGAGTAAACACCTTGCCATTTATACTAATGTTAATTGTACCTATTTCGCTATATCCATTGCAGTCCACAGACCTGTAACCAATTTCCGAAGCAGCTTTCCGATAGAAATATTCTAAAGTTGTGCTTTTCTGAGGTGTCACCACAATTTGTCCTTTTGTGCCTCTATAAGCTGAAAGGATAAATACATGCTTAAGAACTTAAAACGTTTTATCCCATCGTTAATGAAACATATTTGCACAAAGGAAGTATGTTACCGCTCAAAATACCCATTTCAAAGCTCAATTGGCTCAGCAATTAAACATTACTTTTGTATGATATTGGTGGTAATATGAAACAGGCAATAACTTCTTTACCTTTATGTTGATACTTTCTAGACTTAACTCCGAATAAATAATGCAACTGTTCTTTAATTTTAACTTTGATTACTGTCAGTCTGGCAGAAACGTGTTGATATCTATTGTGTAATGTTTGGTCCTTCGATTTCAGTCTGTTTACTGACAAAACAAGTTACCGTTAACATTTTGAAATCATTTGTCAAAATTTTTTCTGAGTCAAAATGAAAAAAAAAACAAAATTGTAAAGGGCATCATACAATTTGGTGTTTTTTTTCATCACTAATATAACGTTTCACTACTTTTAAACATTTTTACAAACAGCTGTTAATATTTCACTCGAGATGAGATTTCAATAAGAGGAGAAATACTTGGAACGTTTAAAAAGACCACAACCTCGGTCTTAAAATTCCTTTAACTTTCCTGCAATCATTTTGGTTAATTCTTCCTTTTGAATGTAACGACACTTTTATTCTTTAATATGAACGAATATTTGAAATATTAAAAAAATATAATTGCCATCCTTTTTTTGTTGTTTTTAGAAAAAACCGATAAAAGTCAATAATCTACCTTCACCGTATTGTTTTACCATTTGAACATTCCAAGTGAAGCTAAATCCAAAAAGAAAGCTTCCGGCGTCGCAATTTTATTAAATGTAATTTTTCATTTTATAGCAGGTTTAGGATACAACTTACGTGAATATTAAAAACACCCATAACAAGTTGTTTATATACATGTTTCCAGTAAATATAAAAGGCGAAGTTCTTATTCACGTTTGCCTGTTAGCAAGCACATGACTGCTTATGATAAGTGAACGCGATTGATTGTCTTAGTCTGCATTCCCTACTGTATCCATCAACGTATTACATATTACCGTGGTTCGTCCGAAGTTTGATTTTTGTCCTTGTGAATTGAAATATTGGTTTGTTCAGACGATGCGTTTTCATAAGTGTATATACACCCAGCTATCTTACTTACGTGAACCTGATAGTGCTGGTATTTGAATTTTTTCTATCATTTTGAAGTAAGGTAAAACTTCTTCGTAGCTCCAACCCTTGCATCCTTGTCTTGCCCACTCATCATAATCATGGCGACTACCTCTGACCATAATCATACCATTCATACTCCCGGATCCTCCTAACATCTTACCACTGGCCAAATATATTTGCTGTCAAATTTTTTATAGATATACAGAGTGTAGTATTGCAGTAAGTGTAATGAGCATGACACGTTAAGATATGTAACAAAACAAACTTTGTATTGATTAACCAGTTCGTTGGCCGTAAAACTTATGAAATGTCGATTTCAGTCATTCTTCCTTATAAATTAGAGGCAAATTTTGTCTGCCGGTGTTCAAATCTCGCAAATCATTTTTGCAAATACAAATTAAGGTTAAAAGCTTAGCACGAGGAAATCGCATGAACTCCCAACCAAGCTAGGCTGGATGTTTACCCTACTGAAGGAGTTTCAATTGTAAGGATTAAATCCGTGTTAATGAAGTCTATATAATGTCAACTAAAATTGAGAATGGAAATTGGAAATGTGTCAAAGGCCACCAATGGGTCTTCAACACAGCGAGAAATTTCCGCACCCGGAGGCGTGCTTCAGCTGGCCCTTAAACAAAATGTGTACTAGTTCAGTGAAAATGGAGGTCACATTAAACTCCGAAACATATAAATGAACTAAAATTAAAAAAAAACATACAAGACTAACAAAGGCCAAAAGCTCTTGACCTGGGACAGGCGCAAAAATGCGGCGGATTTAAACATGTTTTTTGACATCTCAACCCTCCCCTATATCTCTAGCAAATGTAGAATAAACAAACACACAGCAATACACACAGTAAAACTCCGCTCTTAACGTTCAATTGGGATATATAAACCATATACGATGGAACAGATGGTATTTTAACTGGGAAATGGGTAGTTGAGTCGACAGTAAGAAAGCTGAAATCGTCACATGTTTCATAGATCCTAGTTTGGAGTAAAATAAAATGAAGCATCCTTGCTAGTGCAAAAATATACTTCATTTCGAGGGCGCTAGGATATGATGCCAGCACTGTTTGAAATGATGGATGTTAAATTTCAGAACATCATCAGTATACCAAAAAATGAAATCATAGATCCTAGTTTGGAGTAAAATAAAATGAAGCATCCTTGCTAGTGCAAAAATATACTTCATTTCGAGGGCGCTAGGATATGATGCCAGCACTGTTTGAAATGATGGATGTTAAATTTCAGAACATCATCAGTATACCTGAAAGTGGAATTAAAACACTTGTCAAGATACCTATTCTTTTTGTGTTTGTATGGATTGTGCGTCATATGAGTATGACTCAAGTCAATCTGATTGCACAATTGGTACCAATTACAACATGTACAATACAAACTAAATTATCATTCCACGAAATACAACAAATATGTTTCGCTAGAAAGGTCAGCATTTTTGATGATATCATCTTCTGTGTATTTGTTGTTGGAAGCGACTTGGATCTTAACAAAAACAGATTTTGCATTACATAAGCCAACCATTGGTATCTACGAGTCCCATTTTCTTTTATAAATAACTAGACGGTTAAAAGATCATCCAATCTTGGATGGGGAATATTTGTAGAGCTCAGAAAAATCAACAGTTTCAATACTCGTAAAACTGCAAAACTGGATCGATTATTAACCATTATGCAGTAGATCTTAAGAATTCTAAAACATCGACACAATGATGTTTGATTATACCAATCCTCACAATATTTTTGCGGCAATATTTTGATGTTGAAAGTATGCAAGTTAGAACTTTAGAACGATGTTAAGTCGAACATTCTGACCAACAAGCTATGTATCGTTCATTACAAGGACCCATGTAGTGTTTTGTAATCCAATAGGAAGAAAGGACGTTTTCATTGTCCTTTTTTATTGTTATTCTAATAGACCTCATCAAAGATGCCAGGCTTATCTTTTTGTACGCCAGACGCGGGTTTCGTCTACAAAAAGACTCACTAGTGACGCACGAATCAAAACAATTAAAAGGTCAAATAAAGTACGAAGTGACAGAGAATTAAGGGTAACAATTCCGAAATGTTTTGCCAAATAAAGCTAGGATATTGACAGAAGGACGAATTAGGGATTTACATAGATCTCATTTTCATAAATGATGTTGTTGTATAGGTGGGATTCCTAGACTGAGAATTGAACGTTAATTTTTACATGTTTAGGAAATCCTACTTATGATTTTTTCATATACAATACTAAGCTTAGAGGCTTTGTCTGATTGAACAATATCATATTCGTGGCGAAGAAAGGATAATGCATTAACAACCTCATGCATCCCGAAAACGTAGGAAACCCGTGTGTTCATGATTTATATAACTTTATGAATTCGATTCTGAATACATAACAAAACAAACCAGATCCTTCAGATGAAATGTTAAGTTAAAGATCAACTGACTCGACCTTATAACCTCGACTCCATCCATCTATCACCTGAAGCTATTCTTCTAGTTTATAGGCTTGGGGAATTTTATATTTATGGTCTTTTGCTAACAACTCTCTAATCTGTTTATTGTTACAATGCAAAGGTCCCGGAAAAAGTAAAGTAATCCATATTTGATAGTTAATATAAATTGAACATTGCGATATCGTAAATACCTTTTTTTCCATAGCAAAAGATGAATATTTCTGTGGAACGCTATGATAATTCCAGTCTTGCTTAGTCCTTAAGAGAGTTACCCATGCCCCTGGTATAACAGTGGCTTCGTTTTCCAAATCAGATCCACCAGCTTCTACAACCAAGACAGATGTTTTGTCCTCTGTCAGACGTGCAGCAAGCACAGACCCTGCAGAGCCACCGCCAACTGCAACAAAAAGAAAATCATTGTCATGCATCATGTGCATAGTACTTGGAACCATGGCTATAGGTTGCACTTTGTAAATACAGCTGTTTCACAAACCACGCCTCTTTTTGTGAGATATATAATGTTCATTGATATTTTGCTTTGTTTACGTACTGGTTCCAAAATATGATCTTTATGTCTGGGAATGTTACCAGTATAAATACACATGGATATCGGCCAAATTTATTTCTGAGGAAGACCCAAAATAAAAGGAGGTGTAGTACAGAATTTTAGTACAAGTGTGAACTCACAGAAGTTCGGGGCATATCAATGATGAAAATATGCCGCACAGCCCTATGTTTTGATCTTTGAAAAAAATAGTAGTGAATATGAATTTTCCATTCTAGGATATAACTTTTCATGACACTTCATAGTAAAAGTGGCTCAGTTTTAGTCGTAAAAGGAATTTCCTATTGGAAATTGCATTGTCTATATTTATAGTGTTTTGATTGACAACTGCAAACTAAACTTGCAAGTAATGGACTGTTGAATAAGTTGATTTAAATTATTGCTGTCTGTCCTTTTTCCCGAAATACCCATATAACTAATGAATATATAATTCGCAGTGGACAACACAAAATTTCAACTAGGCAACATTTTGTTAATTATACAATTTCTATATGAGACTGTTTTTGGAAAATGGTCTTTTGCAGAATATTTAAATACACACATTATGATGTTGTTTGAACATGAATAGGTCAAGTAAAAGAGCACGAACTAACTCATTCTCCAATACACCTGAATATTGTTGCGATTGAGGATTCTTAGATCGAACACCGATATTGACATAACTTGTTTGAAAATACTTTCTTTAAACGTTTGCGGTATCAAAAGACGAATACTATATCCGGACTTTATTAAATCAATAAATTCGTTTGATGTTCTTGGCTTACAAGAGACAAAAACCGATGATTGCGATGACATTTTCTTTCTAGCTTATACGTAAGAAAAGAAAAACAGATGGAGATTTGATAACAGAAGACACGGGGGTTTAATTGTATGTTTTTAAGAAACTTTACGGAAACACATCAAAATTATCAACAGTAAAAGAAAATAGGTTTAATCTCTCTTCTGCTTTCACTAATTTAGATGAGGATGACCTAGTTGGCACTGTATATATTCCGCCAAAACATATTAATGATAGATCACACGGTGCATTCAGTGAAATTGAAAACAAACTATTTATCTTTAGAATCTATAACAAACGAGAGGATTTTCATTTTGAAATTATAACATTCCCCCACCTTAGCAGCAACTTTCTCTGCATATAGGATATACATTTCCCAACTCATTCGGTATTCAAGAGCTTGCAGCCCTTACTCAGACTTTATAAAACGTCACCAGTGTCTGAGCAGAAAGTTGATGAACCAGGGTTTTGTCAAAGAACGTCTCGTCCTTCTTCTAAAAATTTTCATCGGAAGATACCAAGACCTTGTTAATAAATATTCAGTATCAACTTCAAAAATAATACATGATGGTCTTGAAGTATAGAGTATAGGTACTGACGTTGTTTATTATTTTAATTACGTGGTATATTGTTCTTTTAATTTTTTACCTTTACTGTTTAGTCCGTTTTTGGTAATATCCTTTTGGCATAGCTCGGTATTTATACATCCCGCAATTGTGTGATTGAGCTATGGTCATTTTTTATTCATGACTTTCATTTTTGCTTATGTGCTTTGTCTATAGAGTGTCTACATGCCATTTTGTTTTTCTTTGTTGACATACTTGTTTCTTTTTATAGTGATTAAGATAATAACACAATGTTGACTGTTGTACCCCAATGTTTGACATTTTTACCTATTATGTCTGTTTGTTTTGCTCACTCATTGTTGTCAATATGATGAAATTTTACGCGACTGTCATACAAGTGAGAGATTTAGCTGGTTATAAAACCAGGTTTAATTCACATTTTTTTACATAAGGATATGCATGTTCCAAGTCAGGAATATGACAGTTGTTTTCCAATCATTTGAGGTGTTTGAGCTTTTGATTTTGCCATTTGTTAAGGATGTTCGCTCCTCTTGTTTTTGAATTTTTGCCATATTTTCGGAATCCTCTGGTTTTATGCATGTTTTGCCATTAAATAATTTTGTCCTCTAACCCCTACTTTTCTTTTCATAATTTTATTTCATATAGTTTTAAAAGCCATATTTGAAAATCTTATAAAATCTTTGTTATTTTTTCATAGTTTTTAAAAGAGAAAAGCGTACAATGATAAAAGTATGAAAAATCTAGAGAGAATCATTTCCCGCCAAATTTTCAATGGCTTATATCTCAAAAACAAGCACACGGACTCTTATTTTTTTTTTTCTGCTTTTTTAGTTCCTTTATTTATATACTATCAATTTATAACAGTCTTTTAAAAAGCTTGTTATTTTGAAACAGAGTAGCGAACATCCTTAAGGGACATTCGGTTTTGAATGTTCCTTGGAGTTCGGTATTCTTGTTATTCTACTTTTAACTTGTTCGACCGATTGTTAATATATATGCTTAGCAGGGGACTGAAATAGCCGAATGGCAACTGATCGAGATGTTATACAAATAGATCCAAAGAATATTATCGATGAGATCAATGATTAACGGCAAAAACGATGCGGGCAAACTAGTAAGTTATACTATTCCTAAAATACGAGGTAATACGGATAGAAATAAAAACAACTTTGGTTAAACCTATTTGCTTTTACTTTTGATAAATTTCATGTGCTACCATAAAATTTATAAAGAACTATACACAACTGTCAACTAAGTTGGAGGTTTAGCTAGCTATTAAACTAGATTTAACTTACCATTTGCTTCAGAAAATGCCACTACCAAGTCAGGAATATAACAGTTGTTTTTCACTTGTTTTGTTGATCAGTAGCGTTTGATTTTGTCAGTTTTTATGGACTTCCTCTTTTAAGATATGGTTTGGAGTTCAGTATTTGTGTTATACTTTTTTGGAAACATGCTTCTTGATATGAGCAAATTCAATTGGAATGGGTAAAAATATATCAGGCAAATTAACAAGTAAAATTCATCTGTGGTAGATTATAATTTCATAGGATAACACGATTTTCAGAAATGGTTAGTAATTCCGATGCAATCGACTTTAATACATTGTACTAAGACATAATACGTGTAGCAAGGACAACATATTTCGAAGTGAAGAAAAGTTAATCAAATGGAACATTGAAAGAAATGATGTATTTGAAGCTAAAGTAGATGCTGTAAAATTATTAAGTTGTCCTTATGAAGCAGTAAAAGACATAACTTTTATAAACAGAGTTGTTTACGAAATAGGCGATTTGTTTACGGAAGCTGCTACTCCTGAATTAAGTAAAACGATCCCCCCCCCCCCAAAAAAAAAAAATGGATAATCCTTCAACGAAAAATAACAAACCGAGGTATGACTTCAATTACAAAAAAGCAAAATGAGTTATCAACATGCTCAAGAACAACAAAAGAGTTTTCACCGAAGAAAGCTTAAAACAAATTAAGAGAAAGAAAGAACAGAAAGATACTTTACAAAAGTTTAAATGACTTTAGAATAAATAAAAGAAAAAGCATCACAGATTGAAAAAATCAGAATTCTGATGAATGTTAGAATATTTTGAGTCAAGACTAAAAGAACATATCGCCCGAAATTCCAATTGAAATATTTTGCGATTTCTTCACAAATCTTAATACTGATGATTGCGAAGACGTACATGATCCTGAAAATCTCACAAACGATACTACTGGTGACTTAAACGAGATAATGAATTCAGTTACAACAGCAGAAAAAATAAGTAAAAATGAATCATGAAGTTAAAAAATTATAATAAATTAAAATCTTCAGAGAATACTTCAAATTTACATCAGACCAATTTATTCACATTAATGTACTTTTTTTCAAATTTCACATTTGAGTCCGGGCATATACCAAATTCGTAGCTAAAAGGAAAGCTACATCCGATTTTCAAAAATAAATGAAATCAAAAAGATCCAAGCAATTAAAGACACATTATTATATTAAGCTGTTTCTTGACAAATTGTACACTTCTGTACTAAATGAAAGATTTTTTTAATTTATCATAATCAGAGTGGATATCGGAAAGACTAATCGACTGTTAATAATATCTTTATCCTTCATTCATTCAATCTTCAACAAAATATCAAATCGAAAACAAAAAGCTTTAATGTGCATTCATTGATTTGCATCTGTATAAATGGACTAATTCTCAACAATATTTGTGGTAAAATGTAAACTGTTATAAAAAATGTGTATGATAAAAACGATAAAAACAAATCAAGAAAACATCGGCATTCTTTCCATGTTCCACCGGAATGAGACAAAGAGAATATATATCTCCATTGTTATTTTCTCTATATATATCAGTGATAGGACAGACTTCTTATCTAGTAACAGGGTTTTCGCTTTTTACAAAAGAGAAAATTGTTCAAAAACAAATTATTATTGGCAAAAGTGTTTTGCGAAAGAATTAAAGTTATCCGATATCGTCCATCTTTTTTTGGGTTTTTTTTCGGGCCTCTCTGACCTTTTTCGTATCAGTTGGCTTTTTAACTTTGAAATCGTCACACGTTTCGAACTTGACAGAACATCAATAATCAGCTGATTGGAAAAAATACAAGACTTTGATAGCTATCGGCCATAAACTAATCAAATAAAGATGTAAATTGTATTGTTTTATAAAATTGTGTAGACAAATGGCTTCACATGTCATTTAAACCTACAACTTTTATAAAAATAATAGCTTTGAAGTTGGCACTTCGCAATCATACTTTACTCCTTTTTTTATCTCTGGAATAGATAAATTAGTTGTATTTGGCAAAAATTTTCGAAATTTTGTCCTCTTAATTTTATTTGGCCTTTAACCTTTTATGATTCGAGCATCACTGATGAGTCTTTGTAGACGAAATGCTCGTCTGGCGTACACAATTATAGATAGGTATCTTGATGAGTTTTGTCTACCATACATCGGAATATATATATTTATGTTCACATACCTATAATATAATCGTAGTACCGTCGCAATGATCTGTTAAAAACTCCAGGTGGGTCTTTCGGTCCAGGCGGCAACACATTTTGCAGGAAATTTGCTATGGTTACACTGTTCAAAAGTGAATGCCCAAGGAACATGATGAAAGTTCACCCTAAAAAAATTAACCATATTCTCCATGATCTCATACATTCAACAAACCAGCGTTTGCATTTTACGAAATAATGATTCATTTGTGCATCATTTAGTTTCATTCTTTTTCGTGCTTTAGGAAAGATTATATTCTGAATTTAGTGTTTAGCCCTCTTCAACTGTGACTAACCAGTACTTACTTTACAGGCAGTTAATGAACATTGTTTGCTTTTATCTATTTTAGTGTACTATATTAAACATTGGCCATTCCGTCGGTCATTGAACAAGATCAAAAGAAAAAGAGTGCGAAAAGTGGAGTTACGATTACATTTTATCAATTATTTTCGGTTAATCACCTAAACTCTGAACTAACACTCAGTCATTCATAAATAGTTCATTATAATGCTATACATTAGAATGAAGTTACTTGCTTTTCAAGGTAACTAAGCAGTGGCTATCTAATGGAACTATAGTTTGTTAGTAGAGAGATTAATTTAAACGGTCATTTTTATCCATTCAAAATACTGAAACATACACAAAAAACATACACAAGTAAATCATGCGTAGTATTTCACGCAGATAATTCAACTACAGTGAGTTCAGTTAGATCGGGTGTCGAGATTCATCTTGATAGTAAAGGATTGCAAATAATGGGTCTTGATTGAAAATAGCAAAGAAGAAGGTGCGATCTGAGACCAAATCAGCTTTAAAAAGAAATATGTTCAAAATATTTCTAGATTTCAAAATTAACTGTTTTATCTTTTAATTATATAAAACATAACATTTTTGTTGTAAAACATTCCCTTTTCTTTAAAGGACAGTTTATTCAATCACATTAAGCACAGTTTTGCCCTTTTGACATGTGTACGCTAGGATATAATAGAACAACAACAGATATATCCAAGGTATGAGAACTTTATGTTTATCTATTCGATGGCCAAACATTGTTTTAGGTGACACCTATGATCTATAGATATAAGAAGATGTGGTATGAGTGCCAATGAGACAACTCTCCATCCAAGTCACAATTTGTAAAAGTAAACCATTATAGGTCAAAATACGGCCTTCAAACACGGACCTTTGGCTCACACCAAACAGCAAGCTATAAAGGGCCCCAAAAATGACTTGTGTAAAACCATTCAAACAGGAAAACCATTGGTCTGATCTATATAAAAACGAGAAACGAGAAACATTTATGGACGACATCAACAAACGACAACCACTGAACATCAGGTTCCTGACTTAGGACAGGTGCAAACAAATGCAGCGGGTTTAAACGTTTTAATAGGTACCAACCTTCACTCTACCTGAAACAATAGTGTAACATCACAACATAGAGAGACACACTATAAAATATCAATTGAAATGGCTGAACTCAATCAAAAGACATATTAACAAAAACAAATGAACATACACTGAACGAATAAATTTGATTTTTGACACAATGTAAATACCAAATTATTGAAACAAGAGGGGTTAGATGTAAAACAATATCAAAAAGACAACCATAACCTTGAACAAAATACGGCCAAATAAAATAACGTACACAGGTAAATAAAAATAATTTTGTTGTAAGGTATACGTAGAGTACATTAAGTTTAAAAAATGAAAACAACACGTTATTAACTTCAGGCGTCCGAAGCGCTTTTCTGGATTTACCTTTAAATGTTTAATTAAATAATAAAAACCTGACCATTTCTCCTATGACCTCACCTTAATAATGTCATCATCAAATTTGTAACCAAGGCTTGGCTAATATTCACCTTTTCTCAAAACCTTTCTTCTTAAAAATGTGGAACGTAATTGTTTGATGCCATGCTTTATTTCATGGCGTTGTCAGTTGGTTTTCGATCTATGAGTTTGACTGTCCCTCTGGCATCTTTCGTCCATCTTTTTTTTTTCTTCCAGTGAATTTACAATTATGCACAAAAACATACTGTATAAACAATGTTTTTTTTCAACTGAACGGGCGGAACTTACGTTTTGATTTGCATAAAGACAGTCTATTTGAAGATGTGCGTGATAAGGATGATTGCCGTCATAATTATTATTACTGATTTCTAATCATCAATTAGTGTCATCAAACGGATATAAAAAAAGAACTGATTGTATGATATGTCATAGTTATCCCATGAGGACGCGGTGTGTCAGTGTAAGATCACCCCGATGTCCGGAGGCCAGAGGGTGATTTTACACTAACACATCAAGTCCGAATGGGATAACTATTTTACATCCCAGCTGTTCTAGATTGGATAAAAAACCATTTACGCTTCATAAAATCTAGCTTAGAACGCCACACAATCATTATAATATATTTTATATATTACTTTATAGTATATACCTTTTATCAACCGTGGATTCAATGTTTAAATATGTTAAATTAACAGTAAATTTCTATCAAGTCGTCCTGGTATTGGGGTATGAATCGTGGGTCTATATGCTAAAGGTCTTGAGTTCGATTCCCAGCATAGACACTGGATTTTTTCTACATAAATTGTGATAGTTAGTCTTTTCCGTATAAATATTTCTAAGTTTTATTGTGGATTTGACATTCCCGCCAAAATGTTACATAACGAAGGAAAGCATGCAGAACAAAAAAACTCAAGCTAGGATGATCTGGTAGGGTTTATCCGTAATAGTTATACACCGAGGGATAGGTGTGTCTGGATAAGAAACCCCGTCGGCCGGAGGCCGGAGGGGTTTCTTATCCAGACACGCCGTATCCCGAGGAGTATAACTAACTTACACTCCATTCTAAACCCTATATTTGTTAACATTGATTATTAAATGAAAAAAAAAAACGATAGCATATGTATTGACAATATCAAACCCTGATTTATAAGAATATTTTTTTATTACATGAAACCCCACTAGTAACCTTTTTTTGGTTATCTTCGTTCAAACTTTGACAAGTGAGTATATTTTACAAATGTCAAGTTGTTTTGCATATTCCCGTTAAATCCATGTGCTTATATGGACCAGCAGGTCAAGGTTGACTGTTTCGTGTATTCTTATTACAAACAAAAAATACATCATGCTCCTGGTATACAATTGTCAATATGGACGGGTATAAGACGGACGACATTTTGTGGCAAGCGTTGGATTTTGTAGAAGAGACTAAAGATAAAGGCAATATTATAACCCAAAGTACTTACCTGTATCAGTTAAATAAACAGATAAAGGTAATCATAACTGTATTTTATATCTTACGATTTTATCAAAATCAGAAGCCCCCCCCCCCCCCCCCCCCCCTCCTCCTCTTCTCGAGAATAAACAAACATTCATATTCGAACATACTAAGGGATAGATAGGTGTGTCTGCATTAGAAATCCGACTACCAGACACGCTCAACATATAATATTTGATATTGAGGAACTCCCTTTCTTGGGGCATTCAGGGGCTGATCCAACCGGGGGTTCCAAACTCAAGAGAAAAGGGGGGGGGTCCAACCATTCAAATAGACATAGGAAGATGTGGTATGAGTGCCAATGAGACATCTCTTCATCCAGTTAGAGTAAAAATTCCAATTTTTTTTAAAGAACAATGCTTTAGTATAGAGACATATGACTGGGTTAAAAAAAATACCTTCAAGCAAAAGGGTATTTAAAGAATTAATTTTGTATTCCATACTATAGATGCTTATTGGAATTTCATAAAATGTGTTTTTTTTAATATCATGAAGCAATTTGTAGTGAACACTATTAGTAATTTCTTATGTTCATGCTATTTAAAAAATAATCAATTTATATTGTTACGAATAACAATGGACTTTGTTTGTGGGATGTAGAAGAAGGGGTTTCCAGAAACCCCACTCGTCACACCCTGTGGTCAAAATCCATTGTTATTCGTAACAATAGATCTATTCAATTTACACTTGTTTCAGAAATAGAAACTATGAAGTATAACAATAGGACTGGGATGTAAGGCTCAGATCACCCCTGGTAGAACAAAGGAGCTGGGATGTAAGGGACGAATAAGATAGCTTAAAATGTATAATAGTAACATCACATGAACATGTTCTTTAGCTAAGTATGTTAAAGAAAAACTATTTTGTTATTCTGTTTAAAACCTTATCTAAATTGTGATATTAATATTAAACGTGATTTATACAAATTATATACAAAAAAAAACTTATGTTTCCTTCCTTAAGGTGGTACCAAACACCTTGACTAAAATTAATTTGGCTCGTTTAATTTTCATAAAATGTTGACAATATATTTACTTTGACCCTTTGACAAAAATAGAAAAATTTCAAAAAACTTGAACCACACACTATATCGGAAAAATTTCATTGGATATATAGCAGTTTGACAAACACTAATTTTGATCTTTGAGAAGCTTAATATTTCCATAAAAAAGAACGTGATTTTAAAAAACGTTCAGCTGAATTTTACAGAGTTATCTCCCTGCAGTGTTATGTACACATTAAATATAATCATAATTCATATTTACTATTTACTTTACTGTCACATCAATAAGTTATTGATGGGGAAAAGTAGGAGGTTTTTTGCAAACAGAATTTTCATTTTTTCTTGTTGCAACCTGGAATATTCGAATGCAGGTGATTTTGTCCCGATTCCAGTCGTCAGATGGATTTGTTTCGCAAATAATGTTGGTTTTTTTTCCGCACCAATTCCTGTTAACTGAGTCATTTCACAGAGATTCTATATAATGAAATTAAATATGTATGTTAATTGGCCAAGAACATGAACTTGTTAAAATACATTTTATGGAAGCACCATTAAATTTTTTTTATACTATTTTTCTCTATTCTTTATTTTGTATTTCCCATTTTTCTGTATACCTTATAATTTAATACCCCATTAGTCTATAATTTTGTCTATTTTTCTATCTTTATTTAATGTGCACATTACATGCATTAATCTCTATTCTTTAAAACTCATCCAGACCCTCCTATTTGATCCTGCAGAATCTTCATTAGGAAAAAAAAACAAACAAGCAGGAGAATCTATCTTGTCATCAAATGTTTTTTTTTTATTTTTATAGCTTATTAGGCCTCTTTTTATGATATTGCTTTTGACTGATCAGCATTTGGTTATAATCCTGGGAAACTGACTGGTCAGCATTTGGTTATAATCCTGGGAAACTGACTGGTCAGCATTTGGTTATAATCCTGGGAAACTTGTTTCAAACAAGTATAAATTGTTAATTATAATTAGTCGTTTAAAACTAGACACATATCAAGCGGTGTAGAATATTATAATGTAGGTTGACGTTTCATATTAAACAACAAATTTTAAACTATTCACTATTTGATTGAAATGGTATTCACTTTGCAGAATTAATTATAATTGATAAAGTTATACATGTACCAATATGTGTTTTATCTTTTCATGGACAGAATTAAAAAGTCTACAATGAAGATTAATTCAAATCAGGCTGACAAATAGTTCTTATACAATTAAAGTTATATGTTTACGCTAAATGGCAAAATGTTATTTGGTACAAAATTTTCTTCTTCACACAATGAATGTACTTTTAACATAAACAATATCCAATTTGAGCATGTAGCAACAGCGAAATTATGTGGTAAACCAGTCAATAAAGGCCATTATATCGGATTCATAAAAGTGTTGAAATTATGTACAAACATACATCATGGAATGAAAGTTTGTGCTATTTCTACATTTAAATGCATATACCATCTGACATACAATGTACAGGCATTATTGTTAAGGGGCCAGCTGAAGCCCGCCTCCGGATGCAGGATTTTCTCGCTGTGTTGAAGGCCCATTGGTCGCCTGAGGTTGTTTTCTGCTCTTCGGTCAGGTTGTTGTCTCTTTGACACATTCCCCGTTTCCATTCTCAATTTTATTATGGATCTGCATAATGTAGGATCCTTATGTCACTAATTTTGCAAAAACAAACAGTATGGAACACAACGTACACGTATCATTTTAGTTTGATAGATTAATGTTTGGAGTATGGCAAACAATAGAAAAACTGGTATCTCAAATCTCCAAATTACAGAAACAAGAAATAAGATACCAGTTTTTTTTTTCTAAGTTTAATATGACATGTCGACTGAAATCTCTGACATTCGACTTAAATATCTCATTGAGTGGACCTAAGTATCTGCAATGTCCTCTTAAATGTAAGAAGTGTTAAAAAGTTTCTTATGTTTACTTTAGATATCCACCAGAGACCAAAGAACAATGATGTTATACACTAAAAGTCACCCTTTGGCCTTCAACAGTTAGCAATGTCCATACTGTAAAGTCAGCTAAACAAGGTCTGTACATGACACAATGTGAGGCATTTAAAAAATTTAAACAAATGGCCTGAAATCTCATTGGAAAAGCGTCACTGTGGAATTTTAGGAAAATCCAGGTACTACATTGTTTATGTTGTGAAAAAGCTTTGAAGGAAATTAAGAGATTCTGCCAGCAACAATGTATATGAATAAGTACATTGTAGTTACGTCTGTTACGAAGACGTAAAAATGTATATATTATATGTAAAGACATTTCTTTGAATCAATTGAATATTTACTAGTGAATCAAGAATTCACATTTAATATACAGGTATACTCTTTTGGAGAATTTAACATCTGAGATATTACTGATGCACATATGTCTATGGCAATGGTTTTTAAGACTTAAAATTGTGGTACTTCATATCTATAAATGAGAAATATCTATCATTCACTTCTTCCTAAAAATATGACTGGTAGAGAAATAGCAGTAATTGCCCCTCTATCTCTTAACAAAAGATGCTAAAAATAATTATGAAAGAACATTGAGAAATTAGCCTGTTTGCACTCATTTTCAGAGGTAAAAAAATCTTGGATGGCCGGTGACCCTCAAATTTTATTGCATTTTTTCAATAACTATGCAACACAAATTAAGTCCACAAAGTATAAGAAAATTCTGTAATTTTTTTCTATACCCCCAAATTACTTTAATTATGGTTATTTGTACTCAATCTCATATATAACTCATTTTTTAACGTTCCTTAATATGTCACTAAAAAGAGAAGAACAGAAAAGAAGTCAACAACACTTATAACAATGTCATTCTTAAGCATTCTTCATGCACGTTATCTAAATAAAGCATTTACCTATATGTCATAAAAAATACTTGACACGGAAAATAAATGTATAAACTGTAAAAGACATTGATCAAAAATGATAAAATGAAATAAGAAAGCAAATCCTACCGTTATTGCCTAAACAGATATTGTCCTTGCAGTGAAGCCCAAGGGAAAATGTTAAGTATAGGTAATAATTAAAAACGATTTAAAGTACGTGCATGAATTTTTAACATGTTATAACAATTAAATTTTTTTTTTTGTGTTTTTGTTAATGGTTATAATTAATGAGGCATCGGAAAACACACATATTATGGAGAACCAAATTGATAAATCTCTATTATTCATCATATTACTTTTCTCACAAATTGATTGTTAAACGAAGGTTATGTACAACGCGGTTTCCAAAATGCCGATAGATACCACAGAAAATTCAAAACTCACAAGTCAAAGAAAACCTGACAACGATATAATATAACACTACACAGAAAACTATATACTTGCCAACACAAACCTCGACAAAAACTGCGAGAAATTTTAGGTTGTCAACCAGTCAAAAAATCTATATCTATATAGGAAGAGAACGAAATGGAACAATAACATGAGAGTTTGGTTTACCGTGATCAACTTATATAAAATTAGACTTTCGTTTAAAAAGGTTCAGTATACACAATCGTATATTTTGTATAGCAAAATGTGTGTTTGTAACAGCCACTTGCACTCTTAAACAAACCCATATTACGATCCGCCATGGTTGCGTATTTACCACAAACAGCCAAAAAGACTTCCCCATTCAGCTACGTTCTTACTTCCGTTTCAGAAAAGACCACATAACCACATTGTTATAGTAGCCGTTAAGTTTCTATTTTGTTTGTTGTTTAATTTTGCATCCAAAAGGAAAATCAGAAGTTTCAAACGAAGCATCTAATTATATTTGCACATAAGTATTTTGAATACGAATCAAATGTGATGCACATGAATGCAGTTAAGTTATTATCCAATTAAGTTAAAGGTCTATTTCAACTGAAAAAAAAAACAGTTCAGTTGCAAATTTTGGCAAAATTACTTTCTCCAACGCAATCATAATCATCGATCCTGAAACTGTTATTTGAACGCTGTGTTATAGAATGCGCCAGAAACATTGTTTTTTAGCCGAACGTTTTCATCGGCGTGAACTCGTTAAACTGTTTGTTCTTTTCTTGTTAGTAACAGATACATAAGAACCGAAATTAACACCGACAGAGTCAATACCCTTAACTTAGCAATAAAACAGTCTGATTAAAAAAAACAGATCTTGTGTCTATAAGCTTTACTCTCAATGATCTGGCAACACTCCGTGTTACTTTCTGTTCTGGTAATAATTACATCAGCCAATGAAATTTCAGCCTTTAATTTTTTGAAGGTGTGTATTAATCCGACAACACTAGAGGACCCCGAACGGTCTTTCAAACAGAAAGTAGAAAGAATAGTTTTCAGATCAATGTATGCAATGCTAAGAAACAGAGGATCTCTATTGTAATCAGATTGACGAGAACACAAATGTATTTCCAAACCTAAAATGAGGTATTTGGTACAAGTTAATTTATTTGCAACTTTTAAAATCTATTTAAGTAAAAAAAGAAAAAAAACACCCCTTAAGGTCAAACTTGGTTAAGAGACATTAGTATTATTATTGTTATTATTATTATTATTATTATTATTATCATTATTGTTATTATTATTATTATTATTATCATTATTATTATTATTATCATTATTATTAAATAAATCACTGATAGAATAATCACCAAGAGTTAAATCATTGTCCCGCGGGAGGATACACATTCGCGAAATTACCAAATATGAATGTGCACGCAGTAAATTGACCGCCCCCTTTTCCTCTTTGGGAATGCACATTGTCAAGTAGAAAATATAAGCCCTTTCAATTTTGCTCCAATTTGCACGACGAAGAAGAAATAAATAATTGTCGTTTGGTGAAAATAACGTTGGACCACAAGGTTTGGTCGCAGTTCTGATTTAGACATGGCAAATATTCTACTCTTACGAGATACATATTTACTTTAGGTAGAATGAAAAAGGGAACAGAGCACAAGTTGAGCCAAAAACATAATCTATAGATGGTTTAATACAGAAAGATTGTAATAATAAAACTTCCGAACTTCAAGTCGAATTCATAAAAGGAAAGTACATATAAATTTACTAAACCAAATGCTATACTATATCAACCAACAAATGACTGAAAAAACTGTGATATTCTTGATTTGGTACAGACATCATTTTCCGAAGTAAATGGTCTGTTAAACGTGTGTTTATAGCTAGCTTAGTCTCCCATATGTATGACAGATGTTAATAGTTCCCGTTATTAATCAAGTGATTTAAAAAAAGCAAAGTTGTATTTGACAAGCGCGTGTTGATTTGTCACTGTCTAATTGACATTCATCCATTACCTCCATTATTCATAATATTCAATAATACATGGACATCTACACTATCAGGATATGTCATTTATGTAATTAACAGGGTAATTAAAAACACACATGTTTAACGCCGCACATGTAGAGTAACATACATAATTTCTTCAGCTTATTAATATAACATTTCATATATAATTATCTCGAGTATATAAAACACACAATACAGAGCAAAGACTGTTATTTTCTTTTTCTATTAGAAATGGATATGCTGGCAGCTCAGGTGCCAGTTGTTGATCATTTGCAAATATGTTTTATCCTTTTGGAACACATCAGTGTCAAATATTTTAACTTTCTTTTATTGCTTCAAACAGATAATTCTGTAAACATGTCACAGTATAACAAATAGTCATATATGATATCCGGTTTATAAATTTATACACCAGTCGCGTGTTTTATCTACAAAAGACTCATCATATCATGATCACCTTTATTCCATGGTGGCATTTAATTAATTCATGTGATAATGAATTGGTTTCGCTGACAAAGATCTTAAAATACCAGAATAAATCGTCTGATCTGTAGTTTTAACCGATTGTGACACTTTAATTGACGTGGACGCGAAGTATTCACAGCAGGAGAAACTTAGTTTGAACAATTTGTATTTAGATAAATCATCACATAACTATAGGATACGCTTGAAATAAATATATAGGATTCAGAAATAATCAAAATTGCTTTTACAAATCTGCTTACTCTTATACCAAAATACAAATCACTTATTTGTCGAAACATAAGTAGTGTCATGCTCTAGTAAATATATAAATGAGAAAAAGGTGAAAAATATTATAGAAAAAAAAGAATAAACATGAGATTTTGTAATGTATACAAAATGAAATGCTGGGGATTCATTTCAAATGATGGAGCATTAACATTAAAGATTGAAACGTTTAATTTTGATAATGTTTTTATGCACCAAATTCAACAGAAGGCTATTCGGCTCGTCTGTAAGTAATGTTGGCTAGACTCAAGCTAGCAGCCACTCGCTAGCAGCCACTCCGCTAGCAGCCAGTTTTCAGATATGTCTATAAACCCAAAAGTTGCATAAGATTCAAACTTACTAAAACGTTTTTGTTTTATATAACCACAACAATACATGTTTTAACTTGAATTTAGCAGTCGAAAACATAATTCAATGAATTTTGAAATTTCATTTCCTGTTCAATATTTTAAAAACAGTATTATGTGCTTTCAACATCGTGCTGCGCGCTTTAAGACTTCAACTGTCAACACTGACAAAATGAAATTATTTAAATATTGGCCAAATTTTCTTACTTTTCCATCAGAAAATTTTTGTTCGATATTGTGTGAAATAGCTTTCCATATTCTCGGCATCCTGTAAAATAGTTCCTAAAAAGTAACAATATTTCTACGCTACAAGAATTCATAGTTGCGTTCGTACTTAAATACTTTCATGTTAGCCCAATCTGTTTTAGCGAATCATTCTCTTACTATAGCAATGGGTTTCGCGCAGTTTTGATGGCACGCAGGGTTTATTTTTAGTAATCAAAGTATGGTGTGCAGGGATAGTACTAATTAGCTAATTTACCAATATTAAAAAAAATCCGTGCTATACCCCACCTGGATTTTTTAGTCAAGCATGCCTAAGGGTCCCAACTTTCATTTGCACCTAGTGTGGAAAAAATTATTGCCGTAGGAAATTTTTGATTAACTTTTAAAGTTAGGGTGGGGAAGGGGGTCGGACCCCAACTTTGGACCAATTTTAAAAAAAATCCGTGTTATACCCCACCTGGATATTTTAGTCAAGCATGCCTAAGGGTCCCAACTTTCATTTGCACCTAGTGTGGAAAAAAGTATTGCCGTAGGAAATTTTTGATTAACTTTTAAAGTTAGGGTGGGGTAGGGGGTCGGACCCCAACTTTGGACCAATTTTTAAAAAAATCCGTGCTATACCCCACCTGGATTTTTTAGTCAAGCATGCCTAAGGGTCCCAACTTTCATTTGCACCTAGTGTGGAAAAAAGTATTGCCGTAGGAAATTTTTTATTAACTTTTAAAGTTAGGGTGGGGTAGGGGGTCGGACCCCAACTTTGGACCAATTTTAAAAAAAATCCGTGCTATACCCCACCTGGATTTTTTAGTCAAGCATGCCTAAGGGTCCCAACTTTCATTTGCACCTAGTGTGGAAAAAATTATTGCCGTAGGAAATTTTTGATTAACTTTTAAAGTTAGGGTGGGGAAGGGGGTCGGACCCCAACTTTGGACCAATTTTAAAAAAAATCCGTGTTATACCCCACCTGGATATTTTAGTCAAGCATGCCTAAGGGTCCCAACTTTCATTTGCACCTAGTGTGGAAAAAAGTATTGCCGTAGGAAATTTTTGATTAACTTTTAAAGTTAGGGTGGGGTAGGGGGTCGGACCCCAACTTTGGACCAATTTTTAAAAAAATCCGTGCTATACCCCACCTGGATTTTTTAGTCAAGCATGCCTAAGGGTCCCAACTTTCATTTGCACCTAGTGTGGAAAAAAGTATTGCCGTAGGAAATTTTTTATTAACTTTTAAAGTTAGGGTGGGGTAGGGGGTCGGACCCCAACTTTGGACCAATTTTAAAAAAAATCCGTGCTATACCCCACCTGGATTTTTTAGTCAAGCATGCCTAAGGGTCCCAACTTTCATTTGCACCTAGTGTGGAAAAAATTATTGCCGTAGGAAATTTTTGATTAACTTTTAAAGTTAGGGT